AGAGAGAGAGAGAGAGAGAGAGAGAGAGAGAGAGAGAGTCAGAATAAAAATTTATTTATAACTTCATGTGTACCAAATAATACGAAAAAACATAAACATACAATTACCATACGTACACACATATTATTGAAATACGGTAAAATATAAAACTCAATATAATAAAATTATAAATATAATAAATATATAGTTTTAATTAAATAAAAAATTAAGATAAAATCGAATTACAGAATGTTTGAAATGATTTTTATATGAAAATAATGAAAACGTTCTGTGTGTTGTGTGTGATCGAGAAGATATAAAATATCTCACCATTATATTATTTTCTTCCAGATTATATTAAATTTATGGTCTAATTAAAAAAAAAGTATTAATTCTTTAAATTCGTGCTATAAATAATGGAATTGTACTTTCCACATAAAATTATATGCAACAATTCAATTCAATAAAATTTCACAATACATCATTTTGTTTGAAATATTTATTAATTAATTAATTTAATACATATCTTTTCCATATGAGTTGTTTATTCGGTTTTATTAGCCAATTTAACATCGAGATAAAAATTATCTTTCACTTTAGCGTGCTACTATTTTTCGTTAAAATTTCTCTCAATCGTTCTCATTTGCTAAAACGTTCGCGTTTCGATGACGACAGCGAGTACTCGATTGCGAAGGATGCGTTCACGAGGTCGACGGGGGCACAAAGGATCCATTCACTAATAAATACAATTAGCGCGTCGCCGCGCGCACGCGGTATCGAGATTATTCAGTTGCGCCAGCAATTCCCAGCATTCCCGTTAGATTAATCCCGATCGGCCGTCGCATCAAGAACCAATCGCGGCGATCCGATTAATTCCGCGCTGATTCAGCCGCGCGCGTTCTTGCGTTCGCGATGACGCACCCAGGAAGCGCGGGTTTCTTTACCCACGCACGGTGCCGTGTACTTTTCGCGAGAGAGACGTCATCATCGGGCGACGCGGTGAAAATTTTAATATGCGAAGAACACACGCGAGCATAGCTATACATTATTCACGATCTCTTATGCGCTCTCGCGAGCGTACAATATAACTGCAATTCCCATGAAAATGTGTTTGATTCCCTTCAGACTACGAAACGTGCAGGATGTCCTCGATCAATTTTAATTTTTCACTAACAGTAATTATTTTAAATACTAAATGGATCGAGAGAAATTCCGAAGAGTGGCGAAGAATATCGGACGTTCAATATGTTTCACATGAAAGACGCACAATTATTGGGAGGCATACAATTTTAAGATTTTTATAAAAATCTTTTTTTCAATTGAAAAATGATATTTTGATAGAAAACGTGTTTAATAATAACAATTTTGTTTCTCTTACGTTCTATTTAAAACGTCTATTCGTCGACTGATTCAGTACGTATCTATCCTCTTTATGTACATGTAACAAAAATGGAAAAATGCTTTACTCGTTTTCTACACGATTTGTAGTAGACGTGAGATAAATGCACACAAAAGTACGCAGACGGCAAGCACGTATAGCGTAGACAAAGCACGTAGACTAATTTTAAAGTCTGCGAGCAAACTTGCTTACATATCGCATATTTCGACCGATCACATCAAAGCACCGTCGGCGTTCCTCAACGCGCCAACATGATACTGTGCTTATTTTTAATTCCTTTTCATTCTCTTTTCTATGCAAAAGCATCTCCTTTAGACGCACATCTTCGCATTTCTCTCCGTTTATTTAACTTATTTATTTTAATATAAAAAAGCTATTTAACAAAAAAGTTACAGATCAAAAGCTGCTAGAATTATTATCAATCTTTTCTTCACTTTTTTCTTTCTGATAAAGAGATTTCTATACAATTCTCGATCGTTGCAAAAGCGTTGAAAGTATCCTTATTTCAGCAAATAATATTATAACAAATTCAGAATTATATGTATAATGTATAATAATCGATAATATAAATCTCGTTATATATAATTATATATGACTTTTAAAAGGTAGCAAATTATAGAGATAATTATTACAATTCGTATCACTAAATATAGAAACATACAAATGTACACCTATAAACAAACACATATAAATGTATCTGTAACGCAAAATGTACGAATTCTTATTCCGAAATCTTCGAAAAATCGCAAAATATATTATGTATTTTATTATTTCTACAGAACCGATGTAGAACAATCCTCGTGTTTTATTCAACGTAAATAAGAAATGTTTGAAGGACAAAGCCCTCCTTTTTCATCTGCGTTTCCTGTAATAGACATTCAATGAGCTATCATTAAAATCATTACATACGATTGCATCTCTCCAGCTCTTACCAAGTACACTTTATAAACCACGAACGGACGTTTCCCTCCTTATCCTCTCCTAACTTATAAATCTTTTTCTGCACAGGAAGATATATGTGTACATTGTATAAGTAATATCACGATCGCGATTGGCAGACCGTAATAAACCAACGTTTAACTACCTGAACAAACATCATTTCTTTTCTTAATTTCTTTACAATTTCCTTTCTTATTTAATTTATTATTAATCATTTCTAAACTTTTATTCTTAATTAAAAGAGAAACCTCTCTGCCAAATTCTTAAGTTTTAACAATAAATATGGCAGACAAATTGTATTATAATTCTGCTGAATTAAAAAATTTAATTTAATTCTACGAATAAAAGCGAGGTTGAAGTCTGATAAAAGAAAAAAATTGAGCAATCTTTCATAAAAAATTCTAAAAAATCTAAAACCTTACAGAGAAATAAAGCATATATAAATCCAATCGCGTAATAATTTCCTATTTCAGCTGATAAACGATTCTAAAAATAAAAACAAAGTCTCACGTCTACAAAGTTTTTAGGAATTTTCGGATTACCAAATCTTCCTTGTAAGTTGCAGACGTGCACGTAGTGTACGAAAAGACGTCGCAAGACGCGAGACAATTCTGGAGCATTCCGTATCTGTGTATAGAGAGGAATGTATGCCACTTTCACTATATCGCAACGTATGTTTACTGTATGATGATGTTACTTTAAGCCACATTGTGCGTCAACAAACGGATAATTACGGGATATTAAGAATAATCGCTGTCAGGGCAGCTCGTCCGTTTGCTCAAGAGAAATACGAATAAATACTGTACGTTTACACTATGTTCCCTATTGTTATTCGCAGCGCATGCATGAAGGACGAAACGGAAGCAGGGTCGCTTTTCTCGTTCTCTTTTTGTCCAGTCGCGACTCCGGAAGTCACCAGGTGCATCCCGCACATATAAAAAACACGTTGCTGCGAATACCGATAATTAAATTGTAACTGGCCAGCTAATTATTTTCCGTACTTCTTTGTACGAAAAAAATGTACAGGCTATTTCGCTTGAAGTTCGAGATTTTCAGGTACCTTCAAAAATTGAAAAAAAATTGATTAACTACAGAAACTAATTTGATTCTTGAAACGACGAATATTTATTTAAAATTCAAAAATACTTTTGCTTGTACACTAGAATTCTATTTACTTCAACATGTTGGGGAACAAAACAGTTAGTTCA